GATAATAACAATGGTATGAACCAATCATTTGTTGTCTGGTTGCTGTAACAAGATTTCAGTTGTGCATTATCATATTATACTTTTCCACCTGAGCTTTTCTGAAGAGCTCAAGTTTCTCCTTACACCCTCCTCTTCCTCTTTTTTTGTCCTCCGTCTTGGAAACGTGAACCCTGGGATTTCATCTGACTCTGTTTCCATTTCCTCCCTTTGTCTAGCCCCCATGAATATTTAAATGAGAAATACTGAGCTTTCACCGCCTCCAACGGGACGATTCCACAATCTTCAGTTGGATCATAATTCACTTTGAGCATAACACATTTATCACAGGGCGCAGAGTGTTTCCTGCTGGCTGCTTAAATGTTTATAAGGCAGTGCCACGGGGAAGGTGAACGCACTCAAAGACGATACCATCTGATGCCCTCTAATCCATCTGAAATAACTCCGCGGGAAGAATAATGGGAAATGTCCATGAATAACCTCTGTGTGAGGCTCTGTGTGAAACGGATATATTTATCTTTTTCCTGAATTAAGAAATAAACTGGATAACATCTGTAGCCCGCACACAAAGGGAGGGCCAACTTCAGGAAACTGTTTTGAGTCAAAGGATTCAGTCGTAACTGTGCCCTGAAAAATGATGTTACATTCCCCCAAAATGGATACAAGTCCATAAAAGTTTGTTCTGCAGACTTTTTCTCTACATTGGTATTAAATAACATGACCCAACACACTGCCATTTCTTGGTCCTTAACATCCCTGAGTAGCGCCTGTTCATCTGTTGAGTCTAGTCCAGGGGTCTCCAACCTTTTTTCATCTGACAGCTACTTTCAAAAAAATGAAAGTGGCCAAGGGCTACTTGAACCAAATCGCTTGCATTTATTTACATAGCTCAGCTGAATTAAGCTGCTGTTTGTACATGTGTGAAATTGCAATAAGCCAATGGTTACCTGTTGGAGACCCCTGGTCTAGTCCAACAGTAGAATATAAATGATCCAGCAGCTTCTCTTCCCACTTCAGCGGTAGGAGTCAGAAAATTAAAATTATTTACCTGCAATTTCCCGGGACTGCGCCACAGGATTGAGTCCTAAAACCAGGAAGTAAGTTAGCATTTGAGCGCCATGGGGTCTAACGTCTAAAAGTCAACGGGTTTGTGGTTAGACTCCTGAAATAAGGTCTGTGGTTAACACAAGCTGAAGAGATGTTGGTGTTTTGTTAGAGCACATAAACTACGTTAGGTAATACCTCCACTTGTGAAGTTTGAAGTTTTTACTCGTCTTTAAAAAGGCGGTTGCTAACAAGCGGCTAAATGTGACTACAGCGGTTGTCGGGGTCATTAAAGGTCATCACGCCGGACACAGAGGGCGGGAACTCTCTCACTAGTCGGAGATGTCTCCTGTAGGTTTAATCTTTAGGTTAAGGTGAATATTATGTTAGTAAACTATTTATTAAGCTACGCTGATTAGTTTATCGGAGATCGTCTGAAGCATAACGCTAGTGACGTCACAATCATCCCACCGTGGTGTAGTTAGCTTGTAGCGTAACGTTAGCTTTTTACTTCTGTCGGCCGCATTAACGCTTCAAACATCATAAAAATGGCGTTCATCTGTGAAGATTATCCTGCTGAACAAAACGCCTACGCTTCAGAAACGTGTTTAACACAGAGATTATTTATTAATGATCCAAAATCCAATGAAAACATCCCAGAGGAGAATTCTCGTTAGACCCCATGGAGATGATACTTCCTGGTTGGCCTACAAAAATACGTCATATGCTGCTTCCCATGCTGACAATCCAGACCACCGTGTATAAAGTAAATAGAGATTACGCTGCTTCTCATCCTTAAATGATTGGTCCATAACGGCTGATTCAACCTTTCTATATCTGGTTTAAACACCTTTTTCTTCTTGAGCTGCTCACTTAAAGAAAAAACAACAACAACGAGGTATAACCGATCACAGTCAGGACCTTCTGTTGATGAATAAAAGATACCAAGACGCACCTTGTTTCCTCACTAAAATACTCTTTGTGTCAGATAATCCTGCTGACAGACCGCAGCTCTGGGCCACAGAAGAAAGAACAAAAAAATAATAATAATTAGATATCCGTCTGGCCGGGACCGAAGCAGAGCGACAGGGAGGCTGTACATTTATGGGTCATCATCTGTTTTAGTGCACGCGCCCTTCAAGGTTCAAAAGCAGGACGTGGTAATGCAAGTCAATGAGCCCACCAGCCGTTCAGAGCCATGACGTTCAAAGCAAGTGAACACTCAGAGCATTTGGAAATGCATAAATCAGCCTCTTTCCCCTCTGGGTGTTAGTTGTGTATAAATGAGTAAATGTAACAGACAGAGTCGGCTGTCACTGACTCAAAGTGAGACTTTCTTTTATAAATCCAGAGCTAAGACTCTTCATATCACTGCTCCTCCGTGTCTCTGACGGTTAATGTGGACATTATCGAGATAGATGTGGAGAGACTCACCAATAAGGATGTGAATCTCAGGGTTGCTCACGATACGATGGCATACAATACGATATGACACAGGATACGATGCTGTACGATCAATCAATTATAATCGTTATTCAATTCATAACAAGTGTTATCTCGAGAAGCTTTGAGATAATATTCAGGAAGGATTTCTCCTTTGTATAACTTGCGTTCCTGTTGTCCACACTTCCTTGGCGCTGAGGTGGAGGTCAGAGCAGGCCGTGCATGAACGAGGACGGCGGTGGTTGTTTGGACTATACAATCTGATGGTGGAGGCTGGACGTCACGTGTGATGGTGGAGGCTGGACTTCACGTGGTTGTTATGGGGACATCACAGTCTGATGGTGGAGGCTGGACGTCACGTGGTTGTTGTGGGGACATCACAGTCTGATGGTGGAGGCTGGACGTCACGTGGTTGTTGGGACATCACAGTCTGATGGTGGAGGCTGGACGTCACGTGGTTGTTGTGGGGACATCACAGTCTGATGGTGGAGGCTGGACGTCACGTGGTTGTTGGGACATCACAGTCTGATGGTGGAGGCTGGACGTCACGTGGTTGTTGGGACATCACAGTCTGATGGTGGAGGCTGGACGTCACGTGGTTGTGGGGACATCACAGTCTGATGGTGGAGGCTGGACGTCAGGCTGAAGTTTTAGGGATGTTACAGTCCGATGGTGGTCGCTGGGCATCAGGCGGCGGTTGTTGGGACAACACAGTCTGAAGATTGTGGCTGGGCGTCATGGGGGCGGTTGTTGTTGGGACGAAGAAGTCATCCCTCCACTTTAAGTTTCCCATCATCGTCCTTTAAGGCCTCTCAGCTCATTTTAAAAACACCTCCACCCTCTGACTCCACTCAATGTTTCTCATCTCTGAGGATGATGCCACGTCAGCGAGCGGTGTCAGCCAGCTCACAGTGGGCGTGTTAACAACGGCTCAAACCCGCCAAACAATCGAGCCGAAGGAGCGCGTTGTCAGGCGACAGGTTGACAGCGTGGAGTGAGAGCTTCAGTTGTGGCTTTCATCTGCTTGTCAAAGGCCGGGGGAAATGAATCATCAGGGCCGAGGGCTCTCTTTAATCTTGTAGATTACGCGCCTCACAGACGGTTTAGGTGTAGATTAAAGTACACAGCGCTGCTCGAGGTGAGACACACTGTGGTGTGTGTGTGTGTGTGTGTGTGTGGCTCTATGGCTCTATGAAGAGATGGATGCAGCTTTGGAGACAGACCAACCTCATGTTGGTTCTCCTTTTGAGGCTGAATCATCACAGAAATACAAAATAGTCCTCTTCCATTGGATTCGATTAAAACAGTGAAAACATTAAAATGATAAAAAGCTGAAGTGTTCCGTCTGCATGCTGAAGTTTCTGTGTGGGCATTTAAAAAGTTCATGATCATATTTCTTAGTTTGCATCACAGATGACCTGCAGCAGGTTGTCTTTGCGTAATATAATACTTGAATCGTTCTAAAATAATGTTGGTAATATTCAAAGACTTCATTCTTTCAGCAGAAGAAAACTAAGGGTTCTCTCTTTAATTGAATCTGTTATTCTGGTGATTAAACAATAAATTAAATAACATATATTGTATGCTCACTTTTGCTTTATTCATATAAAAAACAACAACAATGTAAACCTTATAAATCTGAATAATCAGATTTTTTTGCAGTTTATTTTTTTTGCTTAAAATAAACATTGCTAATTGAATAAAAAAAAACCCTCTGGACTGGTTAAACATATTGTCCTCATCAGAATTAATTCAATCTGTATTTTACTTTAGTTCACTTTGTCTTAATTGACTTTCATTACCTTTCACCTGAGGTTTCTGTGGAGAAGAAGAATTAAAAAAAAAAAATACTCCAAGAAATAATTTCAAGTAGAGCAAAGAACCAGTCGAGGATCTGGTGGATCATTTGCATTCTGGAGTTCTAAGAATGTCCAGAATCCACTTTTCTCTTTGACGTACTTCAGAGAGGTCCAGCTCTGAAAGGAAGCCGACATTAACCACGACCCTAAAATAAAGACCCCCCCTCGCGTGTCACAGAAATAATACTGTAATGTTTATTCATTCATGTCCTTTGTGCTCATGGTCGTGGGTTCTTGACGTCTCTCGGAGGTTGTTTTGGTTCCAGCTCTTTGTCGTCTTTCTTCTGTCGGATCACGTTTTCCTGTGAACACAGAGGCCGGTAACCCGAGCCGCCGCCGCCGCCGCTGAGAGCCGGCCGGCCGGCGGCGTCTCGTCTTCTCTGACAGAACGAGCGGTAATCCCAGGTGATGACAGACACACGTCTCAAAGCTGACGTCTCATTGGCCGGATCTGTTGTCTGTCAAAGCCTGTTGTGAAGTGGTGGACGGGATGTTTCTGCTCTTACCTGAGCAGGTGAAGTGGAAAAAACTACTTCTACCGTCTGAATGTCAGCCTGACTCACTCCTGCTGGATTCAAATCGAACAACTCGTTGACTGGATGTTTGAAGCCGAGTGACCCGTGAAAACCGGAGTTCTGACCACACTGGAGTCCGGTCATGCCGTCTGTCTGTGTTACTCTGAGACGGGGGATCCTGAGGAGGTACAGACAGGTTCCTCGCACAGAGGCTGACGGAGCGTTCAACTACAGCCGAGCCTCAAACCGGACAGGCCTCCTCAACACGGGTATGTCCGACGCCGTTCTCTCAATCCCACCGCTTCTTTCACACCTGAGTTAGTATATGTGACCTCAAATGATTTAGAAACAATTTAACCAAAACAATGTTTTTAACTTTCTGGAATCAGGATGAATCAAAAAACACGAGTGATGACAAAAACTCTGCATGTTTAGTGCTGAAGATTTTATTTAAAAACTTTTGATCGCTGCTGTAAAACTATTCAAAGAAAATGAAAGTATCGCTCTGATACATCTGCTGGGGCTGCAGAAAAACACCCAAGAATTCAAAAGACTTTAAAAAGCAAAACCAGATATTGGAGCGTTTGAACAAAAGGAGAAACATGAAGGAGGTTTCTTGTCATTGTATTAATTTTTACATGTATCATAAATCCAGTCTCCTGTGTAAATGTGTCTCTGAGTCCTGACTGTCTACAATGAGGGAGAAGCTCGAGTCCCGCTGGCTGTGTTGTTGTCAGAGCCGTGTTTACATGGACGGGACGGCCGGCTCCTCCCCTTGTGTATAAAAGCTGTTTTAGTCAAGAACTAGAGAGAAGAAGAAGAACATACTCACTGATTATTTGGATGTTAGTAAGAGTTTTTAGATCACGCTCATTCTGTGTCAGTTTACATGAAATGTGAAGCTACGAGCTAACTAAAGAGCGCTAACATTAGCATGCTAACACAACAATGTGAAGCTACGAGCTAACTAAAGAGCGCTAACATTAGCATGCTAACACAACAATGTGAAGCTACGAGCTAACTAAAGAGCGCTAACATTAGCATGCTAACACAACAATGCAGGACACAGGTGATCACGTAGCAAATCGAGCCGAGGACGATTTTGTCTGCTGCTTGCGCTAAACTCCTTCCTGTGAACACGAGGGGTGAGGGGTTGGAGGTGTGTCTCTGGAGGAGGCGTGGCCTAACAGCAGTTTGTTTTGGTTTCATGCTGTTGCTCAAGAGGGCAAAAAGTCACACATTCTGCCTTTAAATAAAGAAATTCATGTAATTGATGTAAATAATTCTTAAAGAATTAGTCGTAGCGGAAAAAAAAGGTGTGTGTGTGTGTGTGTGTGTGTGTGTGTGTGTGTGTGTGTGTGTGTGTGTGTGTGTGTGTGTGTGTGTGTGTGTGTGTGTGTGTGTGTGTGTGTGTGTGTGTGTGTGTGTGTGTGTGTGTGTGTGTGTGTGTGTGTGTGTGTGTGTGTGTGTGTGTGTGTGTGTGTGTGTGTGTGTGTGTGTGTGTGTGTGTGTGTGTGTGTGTGTGTGTGTGTGTGTGTGTGTGTGTGTGTGTGTGTGTGTGTGTGTGTGTGTGTGTGTGTGTGTGTGTGTGTGTGTGTGTGTGTGTGTGTGTGTGTGTGTGTGTGTGTGTGTGTGTGTGTGTGTGTGTGTGTGTGTGTGTGTGTGTGTCTTCAGTGTTTTGTTTGTTCCGTGGCTCCATCATCCCTCCTCTGTGTAAATCGATAGAAAATAAAGATTATGTTGGTACTCCACTCAGGTGCCGGTCGGGACCGAGCAGCGCTCTGCTCTCTGATGAAAAATCTCTACCCAGCATGCACCTGTGATGAAAACAGATGTTAACGAGGCGTTTTGATCGGCCGCAGAGTAAAACACGGAGTATAGATTTAACATTAAGAGAAGAGAATGCTTTAAATACCTGAAAAGAACATGTTTACGTCTGTAATAACGTGGTCGTGTGTGACGGCGGGCGCTTGTGTTAGCGTTTACATGTTTATCAATCCTCTCTGCCTGTGTGTTCAAGGCTGCAGCGTGATGGATCTGACCTCCTGTAACGACCTCCTCTCAGCCCGCTGACTTAGAGTGTCTGGGTTTCATTTATCAGTCGTGTGACCACCAAAATCTCTCGACCTCCGGCCCTCTCCGTGCGCCGTGATCATGCTGCGTCCTCTGCAGCTCGCGTTGATGCATCGCCTCGATTATAGAGACGAAGCAGAGATGCTCTTATCTGGATTGTTTTAATGTCATTTGGAGCTGATGTCACTCTTGTGCATCTACACAAAGAAAACAATCAACGAGGCTGATCACAATCGACTTAGGAGGTAAATCGATTTCTTTTTGATGCCTCAGATGAAAAATCTGCTCAAGAATTCTTTAACAGGATTTGAATAGTAATCTGTGTTTTTGTTTAAGTTGTAGGTTCTTTAAATAAACAGTTATATCCAACCAGCAGTCAGAAATCTATCAGTCATTCAGCACATTTTATCCTTTCTTGACTTTGTCAAATATGATCAGGGGAGCCAATCAGAGCATAGTAATAAAGCGTGGAATCAAAAAATCACATCCCTGTCTGCTGTCCCTGAACGCAGCACACAGGACACACACACACACACACGCTCTGTAGGAGCCCAGCGTGTGTGTGTGTGTGTGTGTTTCTGTTTACATCTTCACCTTCAACAGTGTGAAGGTTGCCAGACTTCCTGAGCGTTGCTCTAGTCGATAAGAGGTGCTAAAAGGTGACATCAGAAAAAATGTTTTCAGCCTAACTCAGTTTAACATTTCTTCAGAATATATTAAGACACTCAAAAAGCTTTTGCAGCGACTAATACTTAGTCTTTTTGATTGATTCCTTAAACCTATTTGAATTGTATTAAACTGTCTTCTTTTAGCTCTGAGTATGAGTGTTGCTGTTTGCTCAGTTACAGGTAACTCCTGCACGCTGTCTCACCTGCAAACGAGAAAGTTGAAGAGATAACACAAACAAGGCAGGTGTTAGGGAGGCAGTAGCTCAGTCTGTAGGGACCAGGGTTGGGTTCAGAGACGGTTCCAGACGGTTCCTGGTTCAAGTCCTGGTTTTGACCAAGTCTGGACTTTGGTCCGGTAGCTGGAGAGGTGTCAGTTCAGCTTCTGAGCTCTGACAGTGAGGCAGCGAACCCCCAACTGCTCGTTCGCTCTGTCATGTGCAGCCCCCTCACTCTGACGTCTCTCCATTAGTGAACGTCCAGAGGATCCTGTGTGTGTATTTCAGCCCAACAAGAGTGTAATATTCTTACTTTTGAACCACATGTACGCGTAGACAACCTGCTGCACATGTGCACAACATGTGCTACTCGAGGATTCCTCTAGAGGTAGCACCACATAAATCAGATGATCTGTCGCCAGCTATTTCGGCACCCATGTTTGGATGCAATGCAACGGCAATGACATCATAGTGTGAGTAGTTGCAGACTTGATCTGTTAACTTTTTTCCGCCATGGTCCTAGCACCTCTCGAGTGTCTCCGATGATGTCATTTCCTGTCTCATCACCATAGAACTCTATACTGCTCCTAGCAGTTATATGCATATAACATCTCGCAGATGCTTAGCGCTAGATTCTGAGGACGTGCACAACCAATGCTCCAAGTACTGCAATGCTGATGTCAGAGGTACATAAAGGTAAAAGCAAATATACTTGTGCGATTTTTAAAGTGATCTTCTAATTCTAGATAAACCTGTGAAAACAATGATCGACGTTGACCAAGACTATAAAATCACTCCAAATTAAAAGCCAGATTAAAAAGGGAGGTAGCTCCCAGAGAGCGCCACATTTTTAATATCCAGATGCAGTTTGTAGTGCCACAGTTTATGGGGATAAAAACTCCTGCGGTTAATAAACATGCTCTTCAAAAGTTCCTCTGACAAGCCCATTAAGAAATACCCAAGCTATCCCTTAAAATGAGGAGGGTACATGCTTAGTTTGAGGGGTTTTGTTGTCACAGAAATATGTTACATGAAGTCCAGTATCAGGTCAATGTTTATGAAGAAAGATGAACAGAAACCAGATCTGTTTGTGGTCGTAGTGGAGACATCAGGGAAGCTGAAGCTGCAGCAGGACGACTGGAGGAGGTTGATCATGGTTTCAGTTTCCTCACGTCATTGACTCAGTGTCCTCCTTGTTTTCATGTAAAGTGACCCCACGTTGTCAGACAGACCGCCTGCAGCTCCGCTCTTCCTGCTGCTCATGTTTCACTCACTTCCCCTTCCTCGTTGGAGCGCCGGACCAACTCCGAGACGATCTGAACGGTGAAATCGAGACGCCGCAATCATCCCGTCATGTGAAAGAGCTTTGGAGAGTTTTTCCAGCAGTGGATGGATCATGACTTGTTTAATATTACATGTGGAGCTGGACTTTTAGGGCGCACTCACACTAGGCCCAGTTCACCGGCACCGCACTGAAGCATGATTTCCCCCCCCTTCCCATTCCCCCGCTGGCCTGCACTCACACTGCTCCAGGACTAACCGGGCCTCAGCACAGTTACCTCTATAACATCATAATACAACACATGCATGGCTTCATGTTATCATGAAGCGTGCTTAGTTTACAAGATTTCTAACGTCCACCTAACTTTACGTTTGCTCTCGTTGCCATGGTAATGTTTGTTGTGCTTCCTGCTTTGGTCATCTTGATTCGTGATTGGCTATTGTTTTTGTTCCATAAATCCAGATATACTGACACACGTATGATCCTAGTTAATCGTTATCCATGTTAACTTGGTTTCCCTCAAAGGAGTAGTATGTAACTCTGACCTCTAGTGTTTAAAATGGGTACTGCAGTCTAAATTCTAAACGTCATAGAGAGCTGTCTGCTCCCCCCAAATGGCTGTGTGGGGGGGGGGGGTCACCTTAAAACCTCCTACCTTCTCTGGTCCAAACAAATCCAGAGCATTCAGGAGCAGAATCTAAAGAAGGAGGACATACTGGCTGCTTGGTCGGTATTTACTCTGACATGATAAATCTTTGCTGACTAAAAATAAGACGATGACTTATTTGATCACGTCTTGACTTCTCTTCATATTATTTTTCATTTAACATCCATACTTGGTCAGTTTCCTTGAAGTGAACTTCTTGTGTTGTTCTGTATGTTCACTCTGCTTCATTAAACACACCTTGCTCTGCATTAAACCACTCAGCGGTGGGTCTCCAGACGTCTTTACCTGCAGGCGTTTTCCTCTGATCGCCACGTTCAGAGCTTCGTTTCATTAAACATGTCTGGTCACACTTCACGCTCACACCGCGGCCGGCTCCCCCGTAGCTCCGTGCCCTAATGTGGCAGATAATTGCAGAGTCCATAATGAATGCTTTCCTCTGTAAAGGTTGTCTTGGCGACAGGCCGGTGAAGCGAGTCTTAATGAAGTTGATTAATCTGCAGACTCCCTCGGGCTGCACCTTCCAACAGAGACAAACTCCAGAGGTGTTAAGGTGACCTAACGTCGCCTGAGAGGGTGTTGGAGAGAGGTGACAGGTACCCTGGGAGTCGTGTAAAGAATCTGAGCAGAGGCTCCTGGGAAATGAAGTCCCTCATGTTCCTTTGTAGTTGATTTTCTGAGTCTGAGGAGGGAAAGGTGGCTCTTAAAAAAGTACTGATAAAATGTAGATCTCTTTGATCCTCGTCTTTCTGTGTCGGCCTGTGTTGTCATGGGCGACACCATAGAAAGTTCTTGTCCTTGTTTTGCTGTTGTTTGTGTTGCCCTGGGTGAAGTTTGGCTTCTAATGCTGGAAGGATTTCTTCATTGATCGTCTGTCAGAGGAGTGGAAGGCTGCCGTGACCTCTGAGTCACGGTGGTCCGCTGCTCCTCCGCGTTTCTCCGCGCAGAGAAACATTGACATTTCAGCAAAGATGGTCAGGGCCATTGATCAGGGACAAACATTCACAAATCTGAGCAAACCAAAGGAAGGAATGTACGCTATGTCCACGTCAGGATGGGAAATGATATGACTTCGGTCAAACGCTGCAAAATGTCCCCGCTTAACTTTGAGTCATCCTAACGACAGGCTGAGAGCTGGAGGCGGGCTCTAAGCCATGACATGGCTAATCACACCTATTTGGTTTTTTGAACCAGGCTGTAAACATGTTCATCTCTGCTGTAAAAACAGGCTTTTTAGAATGGGTGTGTATGTGACTTCCTGTGCTTCTGCAGCCAGCCTCTAGTGGACACTCCAGGAACTGCAGGATTTTACACTTCAGCATCAGGATATACAACCACATTAAGAAAGTCAGTCTGTGAACTGAACAGAACCAAATGTTTGTCCTGCCACAAAGTGTTAAGTTAACCCAAAGAGGGGAAGGGGGACCGGGAGACTTCCCCCGCAACCCTCCTGCCATGTTGATTTTTCAACACCGGAGGTTAAAATTACTTTTTTATTTCCTTTGTGTGTGTGCAAAAGTCATATACAGAATCTGATAATTAGATTCAGCTCCTGGAGATCTGGTAAAAGGCTGTTCAGATCACTTTATGCTGATATTTTGGGGGTCGTGAGGACATGATAACCAGCAAAGATGGGAGCACTAGTTAGCCTAGCGGTCATGACGCATGCCCCATGTACTGAGGCTGAAGCCCTCTTTTCAGTGGCCGGGGGGTCAAATCCGACCTCCACCATTTGCTCCACGTCAACCCCCAGTGTCTACCGTCCCAATATTTCCTTTTCTCTTCAGATGTTGTCAAATGAAAGGCAAAAAATGTCCACTTTAGGCTGTGACTCACTGATTGGTAGTACCAGCCTTAAAGGAACGTTAATGTCAGTGAGCACAGCATTCAGACGCTCCTCTGTGGAGTCTGCAGGCTCCTGCTGGTCGCCCGCTCGGCTGCTCTGTAATTGTTCCCGCTCTGACTTTAACTTATTCACCCCACACACACACACACACACCATCGAGCCCTGACTCATCACTTCTTATTGACTCAGACGCTGCTGTGTGTAATACTAATTCATGTCCGTCAATAGGAGGCGACCTCTCACATCGCCTATTGAATCCAAAGTAAGCCGGGATCATCTCAGACACTCAAAAAAGCTCCAGATGACTCAGCGGAGGAGAGGAGGAATATGTCTTGCAGCCGATTGCATCACCAGTTCCTGTGGTGACTTTCATAACAGTCAGAAAGTTGTGATTAAGAGCTTGCTCTGCTGGAGACATGTCAGCCAGAAATCCCTCAGACTCTCAATCCTGAGGCATGAAGCCGGCTTGCTGAAGGAGGAGAATGTGCTATATGTCTGTTTATTTTAACCTGTAGCCTACAGGAAGTGTCATATGCTGAATGGAATGACTGTGCTTTTATTCTGAAACTGGTAAAAGGGTTGTTGTATAAAATAGTCAAACGTTCAGAAGTTGTCTGATGGTGAGAGAAAAGTCTGAAAATCTGTGCATGAAAGAATCGATAGGTGTGCAAGCGTACAGTTTGTGCACGATGTGAAGGTGAACTCATGCTCTCACTGAATGATCTGATGAAGTCTCAGGAGGAAACCATCTGTCCTAATTGTCACGTCTTTGTTGTTTGTTGCAGGAGTTTGTGGCTGCTGTGGGCCGCTGAGGCCGAGGTACAAACGCCTGGTGGACAACATCTTCCCCGAGGACCCGAAAGTAAGTAACTCATCTTTCATTATATTCATTTCATTATTATTTTGGTATTTATGTTCTCACTCTGCGGGCATAAGCAGCGCCAATTCACGACAACTGTTATCTTGAGACGCTTTACAAAAGAGCATGGGTTGAGGAAGCACAGCAGGAGCTCCACACACACACACACACACACACACACACACACACACACACACACACACACACACACACACAGCGCTGTGCTCTGACGCTGACTCAGCTGATCCTCTCTCCTCTGTAACGCCTCTGTTACTACCTCTAAAGACAGTACAGGGGGGATCACTCTGCGACATTCAGATCGTAGGTGAAACGTCACAGGGCTGTAAATATCACGGTTCCTTTGAGACTCGGAGCAGTCACAATTTTAGCCTTTAGCAGCGTGTTAACCCCGTGTTCTCCAGAGAGCTCAACTCCGATATAATCAGACAACCCCAGAGACACACAAGAGCTTCAGTCGTCTGATAAACCTGCTAATTAAATGTGACACGACCTCAATAACAGGACCATGACAACATATTATCACCTGTTAGGATTCCTTAACCTCTGTTAATTAAAACGTTAAATATGCACCTATTGGTCCAATACACAAGAGGGTTGTCTTATTCATTTATTTCTCGTAAATCTCTCACCCATCCTCTAAATATTTCCCCCAAGAGCCTTCGGTGTAAGCAAACAGGGCGGTGGGGTGGGGGGGGGGGAACGCTAGAATGGTCGAGACCTTGTCAGATTAATTATCGCTTGCTGAGAGCCCGAGGAGCTGGAGACACTCGGGGGACAGACGGTCTCAAATTAACTCCCTCCTCTTTACGTACGACACCTGGAGGCATCACTTTTTATATGGACGACAATGAAGTTCACAGAGTGTCCTTTAGAAGTTTACAAACATGCAACAAGTCTTAACGTACATTTTGACTTCTGTGGTTTGTTTTTAGAAGAAATGAAATGAAACGGAATCTCTGTAGTTTGACTTGTTTGGTATATTTCTAATTATATGAAGATATTATGAGTCTCAAATAAAGTAGGTAGGTAAGGACAAACCCGAGAGGAGTGGACTAAATCATCATCCTGATGGGGTAATGCAGATGTGAGGAGACAATCATGCAAGCTATATTCAGATTTAGATTTGACAGTTAAAGTAGAGGAGAGAGAGTGAGGGAGCACACACACACGACGACAGGCAAACTGTTATAGTGAGTGGTAAACAACGAGACGACCAACTCAGCGCATAACACACTAACCGACTCATTCAGTCTCAACAAACGTGATTTAAGAGTAAACAAACATGATGGCTAAGTTTAATGTGGCTAGCTGTTAGCTACTTGGTACGTCCGTTTTGGTCCAGCTCCTGTCCTTGTCAGTTGTGTTTTGTTGAACAGACATGTTGTATGAACTCTTGTGTTGTTGCCACAAATCAACAAGTTGGTCCTCCGTTTCTTTACTTTATTTTGAAGGTTTATTTTTTGGCTCTTTACGCCTTTATTTTGTGATTGGACAGTGCATAGATTGAGAAATCAGGGAGAGAGAGAGAGCGGGGAGTGATTGTGATCCCACAGGTGGGATTCAAACCCAGGACGCCCGCTTGGAGGACTATAGCCTCTGTACATGGGGCGCGCCCACCAACCACTTGGCCACGGGCTCACCGGTTCCTCCATTTCTGACGTCCACCTAACTTTACGTTCGCTCTCGTTGCCATGGTAATGTTTGTTGTGCTTCCTGCTTCGGTCATCTTGATTCGTGATTGGCTATTGTTTTTGTTCCATGTGACGATCCACAGAGTCCGTGCTCGGACGTTCTCGCTGTTCTCTGCAGATAACTTGTTGCAGTGTGTACAAAAAGCAGCATGTTCATTGGCTGTTACTTTTCAAAGGAAGCTGTCACTCTCTTGAAGCTCTTTGGAAAAATCTGACTTCCTTTTAGGCACGACCGCTCGCCTACCTGTCGTTATGCTCTAGGTCCTGTTAGCATGATAAGCTAGGCTAGCTAACTAACAGCTGATTGATTGATTGACACATGAACAGACAAACCAGTGTTGAACTTTGACACCTGGTGCGTTAGTGATGTTTTTCTGTTTGTTAAAACAGCAGCAGCCTTGGCAACGACGTTGACAGAACAGTGTTGTTAGCATGGTGTGTTGTTTTGGTTGGTTAATATGAGGACAGGGACCGTTCAAAACCGGGACGTATTAGAGTTTTCTAGATATTTGTGGGGAACTGAAAACGGAACGTCCCAGTCAAATGGGGACATTTGGTCTCCCTAAGTTAAAAACCATCCAGATCAATGAATAAACATTGAAGAAAAGGAACTCTCTCCGTACACTTTTCTTTTAACCCTGTGAATCTGTCACGTCTGGTCGTGTCCCTCAGGATGGCCTCAGTAAATCAGACATGGAGAAGCTCACCTTCTACGCTGTGTCGGCTCCGGAGAAGCTGGACAGGATCGGAGCGTACCTGGCCGAGAGGCTGAGCAGAGACGTGGTGCGACATCGCTACGGGTAAGTCACACCTTACTTTGAACAACTTCAAAATGTGAAGATTATTTTTCTTGTGTTGACCGTTGCACTCCCTGAAAACAAAACTATCTGTTTAGATTTTATAAAGGATAAGAGTCACCATGTATTCATGTGGGACAGATGAGTGTCGGAGAGGGAAAATGCTCATGAACTCCTGCTCAAGTCGGAACAACAACTCGAAGCTCGGGAAAGAATTGGTGCCCGACTTGAGGTCATATTGATCGTCACATGGGGGCAGAAGATGTTTTGTCAATGTTGAGAAACTTTTTCTTAATCCACTTATTTCACATTAACTTTCAGCTCAAATAAAACTCCTAGCGTCCTCGCTGTTTGTTGTTACTCTCCCAACCTGAAAGAACGTGAACACACTAAGTTTGAGGAACAACTTCCCAATTGGGTAACAAGGACCATCTGAGGAGCACTTGAATGCAGCGTCATTCACAATAAGGCGTGTAGCTGACATGATTGACAGGTGGGCGTGGTGTAACGGTTTGTCAGGAGGTTTAAAACCCGCCTCAGCTCCAGCTCTCAGCCTATCGTTAGGCTGACTGAAAGTTAGGACTGAGACAGCATTTCCAGCATGGAGACCGCCATCGATGGGACTCCAGCGCCCCCTGCAGGAACAGCTGGGTCACCCAGGTTGCGCCTGTTAATATTTACAGTTATGGTTTTTACCAAAGCTTGCAAAAAGAAGTAGAAGATTTGTGAATCTATAACCACATTGGGCACAATGAAACTTGATGGGGAAACAGACAGTACATGAAGTAGTCACTTACAGTAACTTACCGTAAACAAACAGCATCATTAACTGGTGAATCCTCCTCCTCGATCCCCTGGAGACGAAGCACAAAGATCCCAGTGTAACAGAGTTAAATCAAGTTTAAAATCACACAGCGAAGGAGGCTCTCCTCAGAATGGTCTTTACCACATTACAAATCTCGTTGCTTCACATTTCCCTGAACCGTTTTGAGCCTTCTGCTCCTCGAACGTAATTAAAACGAGTTGAGAGACAAAAGTATCCCTAATGTATTTTCTAAAAGGCAAAATTTGCAGCACCAAATCAATGCAGTGATTATAACGTCAGAAGTGGTGTTTAATTGGCTGTGACTTTAACTCCCCGAAGCCGAAATTCAGAGAACAAACACATCCCTCTCTCGCTCTCTCTCTCGCTCCATCTGTAATCGTCCATGTGCTGTGACCAAACCATTTGGCATCGCTTTAAAAAAAACACTCCGTCCACGACAAAGTGTCACGTCCGTATGCTCGTGTTTGTTATGTCACTCAAATCCCAAACCTGTCGTTAGATTTTGACGAGGCTTGTTGCCTCCCAGATGGACCGAGCTGCCCGCATACGAGTGATGAGTCCATTCGAGCTGTAATACATTCATGCCGTTAAATAAACATCACACACACACACTGTCCATTTGGTCCACAATAACAACCTGCATGAACTGTATTTCTGATGTTCTAATCATCCAGAATAACTCTGCTCAGACTGCAGGCTGTAGATTTGAATCAGAAGAACAACAAAGAAGGTTTGAATTTGTCTGAACCTCTCAGTTTGTTTACATTTCAGAGGAATGTTGTCAGCAAGTACAGACAAAAATGCTTCTGCAAACTACAACCAATCAGAGCATCAATAGGCTGCTTGGATGCATAGCTGGTTCCAACATCCAATTCATAAGCCTCCATCCATTCGTCCATCCATCGATTTTATGTCGGCTTATTGGAGGACGGGTCGCGGTGGCAGCGAGTCGACTCAGACAACTTTCTCCCAAGCAACATTTTCCAGCTCCTCCTGGGGGATTGTAGACATAGAGCCTAGACATCCTTTGGAGGAGTCTCATTTCAGCCACTTGTATCCATGATCTTATTCTTTGGGTCACTGTCACAGCTCATGACCTCAGGTTAGGGTTGTAAGCCTCTACTGTAGTTCAACATGACATTAACAAGTCAACTCTTGGCTAATGCTGATCCCATTCACACATATTCACAGGCCCCCGACAAAACAGCAGGAGCAACTTGGGGTTAAGTGTCTTGCCAAAGGACACATCGTATATGTTGGCTGCAGGAGCTGGCGATCGAACCCCTGACCTTCTGGTTGAGAGACGACCGACTCTACCAACTGAGCCACAGCGTCGATTTATTTTACAGCCAGCGAGATAGTGACATCCATTGATTGATGATGAAAGTGTTCCAAGGTTCCACCAATCAAGGCATAGTAGAGAAAGAAATATAAAAAAATACAGCCAATCAAAATCTCAAGTGAATAACCTCTTGAATTAAGCAACAACAGTGGAACTCGAGCACTGAAGGCATTTCTTTTTACTGTCTTTAAAGAATTCATATCCCAAGAACAACTTCATTTTTAACACAACAAAAGTTTAAAACTCTGAACGTTCATTTTTGAGATATTTCCATGTGTCCTGGCAGAGTGCTGCATGCCTCAGATGTTAAAACACTTCCTGTCTCAGAGCAGCTCAGGCCTCGATGATGATTCCCTCCCGTCCTCTGTGCAGGTACGTGGTGATCGCCATGGAGGCTCTGGACCAGCTGCTGATGGCCTGTCACTCTCAGAGCATCAAACCCTTCGTGGAGAGTTTCCTGCACATGGTGGCCAAGCTGCTGGAGTCCAGAGAACCAGACCTGCAGGTTCTGGGAACCAACTCGGTGAGACTAACTGTTTATGAAATCTTGGTTTCCATCAGGTTACTGCTGTCAGGGACGTTTTCAACTTGACTGGGATTTAAAGGAAAGACACAATATTGAACTTCTTCTAAGCAGACATGTTGAGTAATAATGAACAACACACAAAAATGGACTTCAGCTTGTAGTTCTTTTCTAGTCTTCTGACTACTCAAAGCGCTTTTACACCGCAGGTCACACCTACACATTCACACACTGATGGTAGAGGCTGCTGAGTAAAGAGTCCATCAGTATTAACTCATCCATTCATACACATTCATACACTGATGGTAGAGGCTGCTGAGTAAAGAGTCCATCAGTATTAACTCATCCATTCATACACATTCATACACTGATGGTAGAGGCTGCTGAGTAAAGAGTCCATCAGTATTAACTCATCCATTCATACACATTCACACACTGATGGTAGAGGCTGCTGAGTAAAGAGTCCATCAGTATTAACTCATCCATTCATACACATTCACACACTGATGGTAGAGGCTGCTGAGTGAAGAGTCCATCAGTATTAACTCATCCATTCATACACATTCACACACTGATGGTAGAGGCTGCTGAGTGAAGAGTCCATCAGTATTAACTCATCCATTCATACACATTCACACACTGATGGTAGAGGCTGCTGAGTGAAGAGTCCATCAATATTAACTCATCCATTCATACACATTCACACACTGATGGTAGAGGCTGCTGAGTGAAGAGTCCATCAGTATTAACTCATCCATTCATACACATTCACACGCTGATGGTAGAGGCTGCTGAGTGAAGAGTCCATCAGTATTAACTCATCCATTCATACACTGATGGTAGAGGCTGCTGAGTGAAGAGTCCATCAGTATTAACTCATCCATTCATACACATTCACACACTGATGGTAGAGGCTGCTGAGTAAAGAGTCCATCAGTATTAACTCATCCATTCATACACATTCACACACTGATGGTAGAGGCTGCTGAGTGAAGAGTGCATCAGTATTAACTCATCCATTCATACACATTCACACAGTGATCGCCATGGAGGCTCTGGACCAGCTGCTGATGGCCTGTCACTCTCAGAGCATCAAACCCTTCGTGGAGAGTTTCCTGCACATGGTGGCCAAGCTGCTGGAGTCCAGAGAACCAGACCTGCAGGTTCTGGGAACCAACTCGGTGAGACTAACTGTTTATGAAATCTTGGTTTCCATCAGGATACTGGTGTCAGGGACGTTTTCAACTTGACTCGGATTTAAAGGAAAGACACAATATTGAACTTCTTCTAAGCAGACATGCAGAGTAATAATGAACAACACACAAAAATGGACTTCAGCTTGTAGTTCTTTTGTAGTCTTCTGACTACTCAAAGGGCTTTTACACCGCAGGTCACACCTACACATTCACACACTGATGGTAGAGGCTGCTGAGTAAAGAGTCCATCAGTATTAACTCATCCATTCATACACATTCACACACTGATGGTAGAGGCTGCTGAGTAAAGAGTCCATCAGTATTAACTCATCCATTCATACACATTCACACACTGATGGTAGAGGCTGCTGAGTAAAGAGTCCATCAGTATTAACTCATCCATTCATACACATTCACACGCTGATGGTAGAGGCTGCTGAGTAAAGAGTCCATCAGTATTAACTCATCCATTCATACACTGATGGTAGAGGCTGCTGAGTGAAGAGTCCATCAGTATTAACTCATCCATTCATACACATTCACACACTGATGGTAGAGGCTGCTGAGTGAAGAGTCCATCAGTATTAACTCATCCATTCATACACATTCACACACTGATGGTAGAGGCTGCTGAGTGAAGAGTCCATCAGTATTAACTCATCCATTCATACACCATTCAGGGAAATGAAACACCATAACAAACGACTTAAAGTGTTAGCAGCAATTGTCCTTTACTGGGGCTGCTGCCTGCATTGTTGTGTTAGCATGCTAATGTTAGCGCTCTTTAGTTAGCTCGTAGCTTCACATTGTTGTGTTAGCATGCTAATGTTAGCGCTCTTTAGTTAGCTCGTAGCTTCACATTTCATGTAAACTGACACAGAATGAGCGTGATCTAAAAACTCTTACTAACATCCAAATAATCAGTGAGTATGTTCTTCTTCTTCTCTCTAGTTCTTGACTAAAACAGCTTTTATACACAAGGGGAGGAGCCGGCCGTCCTGTCCATGTAAACACGGCTCTGACAACAACACAGCCAGCGGGACTCGAGCTTCTCCCTCATTGTAGACAGTCAGGACTCAGAGACACATTTACACAGGACAGACTTTATGATTTATTGATGTGGAACATGTTGCTCATTCTTCCTTGCTGCAACATCCCTGAACTCTGTTTTTGTAGCTCGTTGTTTGAAAACGTTGCCTCGAAATAAGACAATCAATCTTTTTTAATTTTGCTGTGAACACAAAATAAAATGAACATAAAGCTTCACTTCAAGCTGAACACACACACACACACACACACACACACACACACACTGAGCAGAACATTGAACACATTACTCAGCTGCAGCCCAGAGGTTGATGTCGCTGGTTTAATACCTCATTTAACTTTTACTCTGGCGGTGGAAATACCATATCCTGTGACAGATTCTGATTATTATTAGCCTTTTATAAGCCGCCAGCAAATGTCAGACTCATCCCCCCCCCCCCCCCTTTGTAAGTCTTTTGAAGGTGAACCCAAAGTTTTTTTTTCCCCTCTTCATGCCTCTTGTTCTGGGCCTGTCGTCCTTTCCATTGTTGGAGGTTCATGTGAGCAGGAAGCAGGAAACAGAGCCGCAGGTTTTAGACGTGAAAGCCTTTGCATTATTTATGTGTGGTATTTAGACTCTGATGAAGGCAGAGACAGGTAGGTGAGTCGGGAGGGGAGGGGGGGGGGGCGTTGTCAACAGTGGCAAACGCCGCCTTTAGGAGCAAGCTGTGTTAATTATATGCCCCCTCATGATGCCGGCTACAAAGGCGAGACGCTGCGTTTAATGTCAGCGTTTTTGGTTTCACATCTCAGCCGTGGAAAAAAAGAAGCACTCGTGTTTGTTCCGTCAGGTAATTATCAGTTTAATGAGTTTGTTTGAGATGTCTGCAGAACAAGACGCAGCCCGACAAATGAGTGCAGCTTTTTTGGTTGAAATACTGTTTGAAAGCAGCCGAGCCTCAGCGGTGACTCGTCAGTCCTGCAGAGCTGCTCGCAGTGCAGAGCCGGAGAGTAGATTGAACTAAATCATCCTGATCGACAACATCACAGGCGAAAACAACAACAACAAAAAAACAAAAACATGTCAGAGCTCCATCAATACGTCTTTCTTTATTTCTCAGCAAACTTCACAAAGAGAAGGTCCGGAACATCCTCCGAGTTATTTCAAGAGATGTAACATGAGTAAACACTTGGCAACAGTAGAAAGAAAAAAAAACCTTGGGGAGAACCAGACTCATGGTAAACTGAGGTTTGCTGCACTTTGATTGGCTGATTAAGGGCGCACTCTCACTAGGCAGGCCTTACCGTGCATAAGCACCCTTCACCCCAGTTAGTTTGACGAGTGTGAGTGCTCCAGTCTGTGCTCAAACTCGATGCACTTCTTTGGCCCTGGCACGCTTTGAAGAGGTTTACTTCAGCATGGTGCAGTTCATACACGAGCGCAAGCACAGGTACACAATGTGGATAGCCTCTACTGATGCATGATTCCAAAGGACAGGGACCAGGCTCTACCTCCCATACTACGTTCAGAGACTTGAGGGACCTCGAGCAGGCCTGCATTCTGGTCTCCGTGGAACTGGAATCATGGAAAAGCTTCAGTTCATGCCACTAAAATGTGTCTAATTGAAGTTGAGTCCATTTAGTAATGGTTCAGTCACAGAGCTCAACATTCTGTTTCATGTATTTTAAAATAACGCTCCAGGGGACTAAGCTCGATCTTTCTTCTCCCTCTTCTCACATTTTATTTCCTAAGGTGTTTACCTTTTTATTCAATCTAAATCAAATGAGTTTAAATCAGTTTAAGACTTAAAGAGTATCAAACTGTTATTGTTAAGTAAAGGTGTTTTAAGCCTCAAGCCAACGGGCTTCATGAACGGCCACATGGTCTCACAGTTGGTGTTAGAGTCCCTTTAAAGAGTATATCATTATTTTCTTCAGCTCTATTCAGACTGGTGTTTCAAGCCGTGATATTTAAGCCCCTGTGACATTTCACCTTCAGTCTTGTTGCTGAGGCGTAACGGGGGGCCAAGTGATACACCCTCTGTAGCGTCTTCAGAGGTAGTAACAGAGGCGTTACAGAGGAGAGAGAGGATCAGCTGAGCCAGCAGGGGAGCGCAGTGCTGTGTGTGTGTGTGTGCGCATGTCTGACTGAGTTTCTATGTGGAGCTTCTGCAACGCCGAAAAGCATCTTGAATCTCACAGGCTGTGGCTCGATTTTACGCCGTCTCAGAATCAAATTGAAGGTACAAAGACGTGATGAGGGCGGAGCTTAGTTACGGCGCTTTAGCGAAAACAAGAAGTCTGAAAATGGCTTTGGATTGAAAACTAACTCAACACAAAATCACATTAAAATGTGGATAAAAACTTTTAAGATGTTCTGCTAATTAATAACCATTCTGTTAACCAATCATATAAAAGGTTTTCAAATCATTGGAATAAAAACATGCATGATTTTTCACTTGAAATCTACCCGTCACCTGTCTCCCCTCTGCCTTCTGTGCCCAGCGTGTGTCACTCCCGTCCGTGTGGCCAAATCCATCAGCCAGCTCTCTTTGTCACAAGAAATTGGCAGACTGCGACGGCTTGAAGTGTCTCTTCCTGCGCTCCATCTCAATAGAAGAGACACTCATCAGTCTGCACTCGAGCAAATGAAGCCACTGAGTCAGACACACCGGGGAGTTTAGACGTCAGCTATTTATAGTCTGCTGAGCCAGATGTGCCACACACACAGCGGACAGTCTGATAAGGAAATGTGCGTCTCTATTCACCGGTTCAATCTTCTTCCTGCTTCCATGTGTCAGTCGTGGACTTTGTGAACAAAAAGGGAGTCTCTAATCTGAGTAAGCTCTATCAGTTCTTCCCCGTCTCTCCTTCTTTAGATTCCGTCTGTTGCTTCATTTCGGCCTCAGTCGACCTTCTTCACTTGTGATTTCGCTCAACAGTTAGTGCGCAGATGGCCTCTGAAGACTTGGCTCCTCTTCTAACAGAGGAACCTTCATCAGTCCACTTCAAAGTCTTTGTTTTTTCTCTCTGTTTGAATTCTTTCATGTGCAGCTCAGACCTTAAAAAAAATCAGACACCCAGCGATTGCCCAAAATAATCTGTTTAATGTCTCGAGGTGCCTTTAAGTGAGTCCTTACTTTCCCTCTAACATGTGGTTAGTAGATTTTAAAGGTCACATATCCTCCTCCTCTTCTTCAGTGTAAATAAGTGTCAGAGCTCCTCAAAACATGTGTGTGAAGTTTCTTGTTCTAAATCCACTCTGATCCTGTATTTGATCATGTCTATAAACCCCTCTATTTCAGCCCTGCTCAGAACAGGCTGTTTCTGTGTCTGTACCTTTAAATATGTAAATGAGCTGTGTCTGACCACGCCCCCTCTCTGGAAGGGCTTGGGTGTACTCTGTCTTTCTTGCTCCATGTCCTATTGTTTACGGTGAGAAGGCAGACTCAGAGGGCAGAACAAACACCTAGCTGTGGGAGTGTCACCCACCTGGGGGAGGGGCTACTACCCTTTGTGATGTCATGAAGGGAAAATCTCCAAACGGCCTGTTTGAGCACACATTTTCTGAAAAGTGGAGCAGGGAGAAGACGGAGAGGATGGACTTTTCTCATGATTGGGGGGTTTGTAGACGGACTATAGACACATATTAGAGTTAGAGGAAGATGGAGAAGAGGATTTACAGAATATGTGACCTTTAACACACTCTTTCTTGTGTATGAACATCATATAGGGGCAGAGTGTGATATGTGACTATGGATGAAAATGCTTTGATTTTGTCCATATTGAATAGACATATTAAAGGTAGAGCTTTAATTAGACTTGACAGACTTTTTTTTTTTTCAACATATTTTTATGAAAGCAAGTTCAAAGCATACAGTGCAATCAGAAACATTCAAAAACCCAGTATCCCATCGCCCTGTAAACAACCCTCCCAGACCAACAAATAGACCTCTTAGTTTAAAGACAAGAATAAAAGTGCAAGATTGGAAAACTTCACAAAAAAACAAATAAAAACAAATAAATAATAATAATGAAAATTGACAAGACAAACATAAACAAAAAAATGAATATATAAATGAACAAACAACATTGACAGGAATGAAAGTTGTTATGAGCATACCACATAGGTAACCAATATAACAGTATAACCTGTGAAAGAGACAGAATCACTCACGCACACTGCAGACAACAGCTGCTCACATCCAGGCTACCACTTAAGCGGCTGAAGAACCCGCGCACAGAAAGAAGTATGGTCAGAACATAAAATTTGGTATTTAATTACGCACAGGTTTGCCCTGACTCGGGGAGAAAAAAAAGGGGGGGGGCGGCTGGACAGGCACGAGAGGACAGGATCAGTATCAGCAGGCGATGGTGTACTACTACAATACCTCGTCAGGTGAGAGTTTCTCAAAATATTGAAGCAGAGGTCTCCAGTGAGTGTAAAACCTATCAGAGCACCCTCTAAGAGAGAATTTAATTTTCTCCAACTTAATAAGAAGACAAAATGAGACATCGTGCAGCCATGCTTTGAAGGAGGGGCGTTGTGAAGATTTCCATAAGAGAAGGATTTTCCTGCGGGCAATTAAAGAGGCAAATGCAATAACATTGTCCTGCGTGGTCGGGGTGGCAAGATTGTCAGGAGACCTCCCGAAAATAGTTATGTGGGGATGGATTGATGTTTATACCTAAAATGTCGGAGATGGACTTAAAGAAGGACTGCCAATAATTAACTAATTTAGAACAGGACCAAAACATGTGAGTCAGGTTGCAAGGAGCCTGAGAACATCTACCACAAGTTTCATCAATTGTATCCGGAAATATTCTGGAGAGTTTATGTTGCTGTAATGAAGTCTGTGGAGCACTTTAAACTGGATGAGAGACAGCCTAGCGCAGCTCGAAGAAGAATTAGCAGCCCCAAGCGCCTTTTCCCAGAAATCCTCAGAAAGATTGGTTTGTAATTCGCTTTCTCAATCAGCCTTGATCTTTTTTACCGCGGACTCGTCAGTTGTGAACAGGACGTCATAAAGGAAGGAAACCTGACCTTTGGGCAAGATTCTTGCCTTGAGTGCCAAATCAATGCCACTGGGCTTTGGAACATTAGACTTGACAGACTTAAATGTTCTTTAGCTCTCTGTACCAGTCACAGCTGTAGACTTTTCCTCTTCGTTCAGCACAAACAACAACTGAAGGGGAAACAAAGTCCCAGTCTGACAGTTAAGAGGCCGAGGAGGTCTTCATCATCATTACCTGAGTCAGGACTCAGGTGGCAGCAGCCCTTTATGACTGTCTGCAACCAAAGACATCAACACTTTACTGAGATGAACTGCAGAGGCCAGGATTTATCATGGTTCTTCAAAACTGCAGCTCCTGACAAACTCTCACCCACTGACAATTTGGAAAAAACAAACACATAGGTTAAGTGTCGGAGTTGCTCATATAGGTGTACGTAATCCTAAATGTTCTGTAAAATACAGATAATTGCTAAGTAAGACTTCTTAAATTACTCGAGGCTGCAGTGTCCAACTTCTTTGCTGGAGTCAGCAGCAGTCTGCGTCCTCCCCCTCAGACTGTGATGCTGCATATTCACCAGCAGGGTCATCAGTAAACCAGCAACCCAGGGCAACCAACAAACGACCAATGAGACAAACTACTGCTTCATTCCTAAAAATCAAAGCAAGAAATTGGTTCATAAATCTAATCCACAAACCTTTGAACTTTGATCTTTTACGAAGAATACTTTGATTTTCCCTCGGGATCAGTAAAGTATCTATCTATCTATCTAAGAAGAAAACAACCATTTTATTTTGAAAACCTAAGCAAAATAAAAAGTTATTTTTTGTGGGGGGGTGTGTTGTATGCTTGGATTTTACTAACATTGGAACAGCTTTTAATCAACATGAAGATCTTCCACTTCCATTAATATCTCGTTTTTAGACCCAATCTCGTTTTTTATTCACCTTTGAAGGCATGCTTGTCTTTGTGCGAGCTTGTATTTAATTTAATTTCAGAATATGATTATGCAATTCTTTTAAATTATCTTGCGTATACCTCAGTTTCAAGCAGCAGCCTCCAGATATTCAAAAAAACAGTTTCTCAAGTGTCCACTTGGGGCCGGCTGCTAAAGCGGAGGCATCCCCATTTTGGTCCCATGCCAAAATGCCCACTTTACATCAGAGATTAACTTTCTTACAGCGTGGTTCAAAAATAAATTAGGTATCAAAAGCTCATGTCTGTATTGGTACACCCAGTACATTTTTTTACAACTCCATTTTAAAAATATGAATGCTATAGAGAAATGCATGCATAATTAGGGGCGTGGCTAAAATGAGTGAAAAGTGGGCATATTATAGATGTTTGGCAGGAGGCTTGAGGTCTGCCTCAGCTCCACCTTTTTACCTGCCGTTGATTGACCTGAAGTTATGTTGAGACAGCATTTCAAATGTGGCGACCACTATCGTTGGGCTTCAACACTCCACATTACAAACCACTGAGAGTACGTCCATGTTTTATACAGACTATGGTTTGTTTATATCTGATCGTTCCTTTTTTTTTTCCTTTAAAACGTTTTTTTTTGTGTGAAGCAGTTTGTTCAGACTGGTATTATTATTCTTTATATACTTAAAGAGTACCTTCATTTGACTCTGCTCAAAGTGTGCACCATCAGTTACATGTTAAAGCACTCTGAGTCTGAAGCCTTGGTTTGGTCGTCTGATTCTGGAGCATGTTTGAAAAGCTGATGGGAAGCCACTTCCCTGCACACCTACCTCCTCCCCGTCTGAGCCATTGCCCCTGGGAGATGTTAGACACTAAATGGGAGGAAATTACCAGGTAGAGCGGCGAGGTTTCGCTCACCAATGTCAAACTGTACAGAGGCAATTTGTTGCAGTGGACAATGATAGGGTAGTGAGGAGCACTCCTCGAGCACAGCTGACTGTGAGGAGGCCTCTCCAGAGGACACTCTGCACGCCGTTTGGAGGGAAGAAATTACAGGCTGGACAAAAGTGGGTGGCTCTCTTATGGTGATTATCATCATCGCCGTCATTTCCAGTTCATGTCCATGCACAGACGTGACGTCTTTTTACTCTCTGAAGCGCGCTGCATGTCATTACAGATGTCTTCTAATTATGAATCTGGTTTTGGTGAGAATTAGCAGCTTCACGGCCGTTATTAGTTCTGATTGGAGGTATTTGAACTCTCGTTGACGATGTCAGAGGTGGATTAAGGACGCTTTTCCTTTTCTGGCAGGGATTTTTTATTTACGGTTACATCCCTTAAAGTCTTGAATCTTTGTCTCTTTGTACATTTCTCTCTCATTGGCTGTTCTGAGAATACAGATGTTAACATCCAGATTTCAAATCCTTAATATCCAACATGTTCTGGATCTGTTGAACGTTTATGTTTCTAGATAGTGTAAAGTATAATCTAATCTACTTTAATAAAACAGACTGAGCATCAATACAGAACACGTTCCTAAACAGGTTTCTCCAACGATTTCCAAGATGGATGAATCGAACCAAAACTGTTGAATCCCAAAGACGCTAATGTGCTAATAGATATGTTCCTCTGTGTTTCTGTCCTCTTTGTAGTTTGTGAAGTTTGCCAACATCGAGGAGGACACGCCGTCCTACCACCGCCGCTACGACTTCTTTGTGTCCCAGTTCAGCGCCATGTGCCACTCTACTCATGAAGATCCTGAAACCAGAACCAGGTAAGACCACTCTGTTCACCCACAAAAAACACACAGTGGAGTGTGTGGATTGAACTCGACTGTTCCAAATAATTCTACATCCTGTTTAAGGCCGCCATTGTTATCTTCCAGTTAACCACATATTAATTACTTCTTAAAGGTTTCATGTGACATGTTAAACTTTTACAACAAAACTGACGCTTTGTTTCAGTCACTCTTTGGCTCCCTGGAGGGTAAAATAATATCTTATTGATCATTTCTGAATCCGTTGATTGGCTCCTTTTCTTTGTGAAGTTGAGCTTCAGTCAGAGAAATCAGCTCCTCATAGCCAGTCTGTCCACTGGTGTCTCTTTTTGTTTTTCATTATAAAGAAGATAGTTTTCCATGTGGCCCCACGTCTCCATCTTTCAGAGACGACCTAATGCCAGTGATGGATTACACAAACATCACATCCAGCATGGGGGGGGAGGGGCTGTCACCCGATCCCCACCAGCGCAGGTCCCCTGAATACAGAATTAACCACATCTCGTCCTGATCCATATTTCATGGCCTTCTCCTCCCACCGAGACCTCACGGCTCATTAACGCCACCACAGGAGAGCGCCGCTGCCTCACCGGGCGGATTGAGATACGAGCGTTTGAAAGACGTATCGATGATGAAATGAAGAGAACTGCCCGGCTTAAATTAGCTTGAAATGATTTGCAGAGAAATGGGCCAACGTGCCTGTAGTGCCTTCTTCTTCCTTATTGTCTCATGGAGAATGTGAACGTAGCGTCCAGAGGCAGAACGGCAGACGCACAATCGCACATGAAACACAACACGTCACGAGTCAAACAGAAGTTAGTTATGAGCAGTCTAATACTGAGGCATCGTCACGTCCTGAAACCAATCAGATCGCTCAAATCGTTTTGTCAAGATCACAAGAAATCAACTCGTCATCAGAGGAAAACATCCCGAGATAACGCGATAAATAATCCGACTGAGGAAAAAGGAGTCAAATAAAAATACATGTAGGCATGTTCTCTTTGGGCTTCTGAGTAAACCAACCCACAAGGACTTCATTATTTTTACAGCTGATTCCAAGACAGAGAAGCTGCATACCAATGTTCCAATAAGATATAACTTAAAGGTTCAATATGTTGAATTTTATTAGAATTTATTTTATCTGAATTAATGAAAAATGGACTAAACCGATGTTGAGTTCTTACATCACCTCTAATATTTCCAACAGTTATCAAAGCCAGAGAAATTCTTCATTTAGAGTTGTAACGGCACGTCTCTTGTTGCGGTGGCCGCCATGACGGACATGACACGTTTATCGTTGCCGTGGAAACATCGGAGCTTACGTCAAAGTGGTTAGCTGCTACTGAAAGCTGTCGTACTGTCGCTGTTAGTGCTGCTGTGATAAAAACATCATTTAAATTATCCTCTGATACATCAGCTCGTCTGTAAACAGATTCTCTTCCTCAGGTTGGTTTCACCCGGTCGTCATGACTACGGTCAACAGATAGTTTGTTTTCATCAGGGGGGTGGGGTTGGGAGTAGCAGAAGAATCACTCCCATGATTCCCCGCCAGCCTCGACGTCATCTTATGTTATTGTTTTGATCGAGAGCCCCCTGGTGGCGGAGTTTGCAAACTGTGCCTTTAATTTTGCAGCTAATTCCAAAAACAAGAAGCTGCGTACCAACTTAAGGAACATTGACCAGGTTGATTCAACTGATAATATCCAATGAGGGTGCAGGACACGTGACAAATGTGATAAAGCAGGTGAATTTTAAAGGAGACATTATTAACAGAAGAAAAAAGCACAAAGAGCTTTAGGGCGGAAAGTAAGTGAGGAGATTCCTTCTTCCACCACGTCCACTCATCGTGCATGCAAAGTAATTTCAAACCCGGAGGTGTTTTTTTTTTTTTTAATAAAAGAGAAATGAGAGTGTTCAGGGAGCCAGACATCAGACAAACATCATTCTCCTCCTTTTGAGGACACAGAGACTCTCTGCCTGCCAGCCGCATTCTCAGGCGGGTTAAAAATAGCTCAGTGACGGCGGCGGTGGTGGCAGTGAAGCTCAGGCGATGACACCGTATTATACTTAACAAGACTCCTCTCCCCCAGCTGAGACGCCCCCCCCGACTCCATATCAGCAGTATATTAAAGCATCACCCTCCCATTCATTGTCAGAATAACTTGCCTCCTCTGGTGTCACCGGGCTTATTTGCAGAAGTAGCAGCGCTGCAGCTGAGCGCCGTGTTAGAAGATAAACATTGAACTCCATCTGTATGTATGAGTGGGTGTGTGCACGCTGCTGTTGGGTGAAGGTGTGAGGAGAAGCAGGGGATGCTGGGATTATTTTTGAATTGGACTCTCTGCCACCTCGAGGTATCACACAACTCGTCTTCCATTCTTCATTTCATTATTCCATTCAGAGCGTCTCTCTGTAGGCGGGGAGGAATCCTCTGACAGAGTCTCTCTTGTGGTTATTGGATTAGGCCTGAGGCGAGGTCGGCCATCTTGGTTTTCATATTGCATATATACGCAGCATATGTTGTTGTTGTTGTTGTTGTTGTTGTTTGTGAAGAAACCTAGAGAGGAGACACAGATTGTCAAAGACGTTCTGATCGATCTCTGAACTCATCGGCTTTTATCTGACGACCGTTTAGCCTCCGGGAGCGGTGGTCGACTCTTCAGGGCGTTTCAGGGGATGTGTGGATAGTGAGGGGAGATCTTTTTGGTATAGGATGTTAGATTAGATGCCAATCATCTGGAGAAAAGGAAGAATGATGGAAACGTGCATCCTGCCCACTTGTAAACTTCAGATTTCTTCTTCATCCTCTTTAACTTTGCTGCTCGCTATTGTTAGCTTGCTGCTAGCATTGTTGGGTGATGCACAGTTGGGCAGAAGCTATCCAACAGGTTTGGAGTAAGATTTTTAGAAAGTGCTGGGATAGATCATTGTTTTGACTGCCCATCGATTAGATTGTTCAACCAACTGATTCAGATCGTTGGTTCGTTACACCCTAGTTTAAAGTGTAATGAGCAAACTGAGGAATGAGAATGGAGTTGGTGTTGGAGATCATCTAAGAGCAGATTGTTAGCCACACATGAAGGCAGATATCTGTGTGCAGATATTTATTCAAGATAAATTAACTTTAAGTGACTGCCGAGTGGTTTTGATTGCTTTAGGTCAGATTGTGTTCGCCTCTCTTGTCTGCCGAGAGGTGGGAAAAAAATCAACTTGTGTAATAATAGAGATTCTAATCTTCTGAGATTTTAAATCGATTCATAACTTCCAAAAATCTTCTTTTTTTTTGGCTAATCAGTCTCTCCCTGCTAAGTGCTAGGGCTAACTCTTTAACTCAGTAGAATAGACTTTAGACTTTATTGTCCCTGAGGGGAAATTGCTTGAAAAATGGAGCAGCAACAAATGCAGCCAGTCTCACAGATGACTGGACTAGATCCTGAAGTTTCTACTCATTCAAAAATAGACTTTGAATCATGAATCACTTTGAATCGAAAATATTGTAATTGTAATCAAAATTGAATCAAATCATGAGACACCCAAAGATTCCCAGCACGAGTCTGCACTGACTGTTTTCCTGCAAACAGTGAAAGCCAGCTGGACCGGCAGAGGGACGATACAACTGGTACTACAGCTGGAGAAAAGAACTAGTGATGTGAAAAGCAGTTCTTTTCAGTGTACTGAATCAGTAGAATCAGTTCAGTGAAGTGATTCGTTCAAATGATTCGTTCACTGAATCGTTCAGTACTTCTCTGCAGCTCTGTCTGTGAATCAGAATTTAATAAACTGAAACATGGCCGAACGTTTAGTTCTGCTCGCCATCGTTCTGAGAACAGCCGGTGGTGAATAATAAACCAATGAGCTGAGAATTTAGTTGGATAAAGTTACAGTTTGCAAACTGAAAGCTGCTAAAACATTCACATTTATTTTCCCCGACCGTTCTGTTCAGTACACAAATCACTCACTGACTGACTGAGAGGGAGAGAGAGGAGGCGGAGCTCTCGTTCAGTTCGTTCACTGAACGTACTGTGAACGGGAGCTTTGAAACACGAGACGGGAGAGAGGAGAGGGCAACTGAAGTTGAGAAATGAACGACTCTTTTCAGTCAGTGATTCAGTTCAGTTCGTTCACCCAGATGATTCGTTCGTTTTGAACGAATCGTTCATGACCAACACATCACTAAAAAGAACACTTTGGAAAGGTCGTAGAAGCAGGGGACAGTGTTCATACTGACCAGAGACAGGAAATCAACCTGTGTGTGTGTGTGTGTGTGTGTGTGTCTGTGTGTGTGTGTGTGTGTCAGGATCCGTGTGGCGGGCATCAAAGGTCTGCAGGGCGTGGTGAGGAAGACGGTGAACGATGAGCTGCAGGCCATCATCTGGGAGCCTCAGCACATGGACAAGCTGATCCCCTCCATGCTGTTCAACATGCAGGACAGTGAAGACCTGGACAGGTACTGAACACACACACAGAGACTCACACACACACACAGAGACTCACACACAGAGACACACACACACACAAGAGACTCACACACACAGAGACACACACACACAGAGACACACACACACAGAGACACACACAAAGACTCACACACACACACAGAGACTCACACACAGAGACACACACACACTCACACACACACACACACAGAGACTCACACACAGAGACACACACACACTCACACACACACACACACAGAGACACACACACAGAGACACACACAGAGACACACACACACTCACACACACACACACAGAGACTCACACACAGAGACACACACACACACACAGAGACACACACACACTCACACACACACACACAGAGACTCACACACAGAGACACCACACAGAGACTCACACACACACACACAGAGACTCACACACAGAGACTCACACACAGAGACTCACACACAGAGACTCACACACAGAGACTCACACACAGAGACTCACACACAGAGACACACACACAGAGACTCACAACACACCACACACAGAGAGACTCACACACAGAGACACACACACACTCACACACACACACACAGAGACTCACACACAGAGACTCACACACAGAGACCACACACACACACACACAGAGAGACTCACACACACACACACACACACACACACAGAGACTCACACACAGAGACTCAGAGACACACACACAGAGACACACACACAGAGACACACACACAGAGACACACACACAGAACACCACACACTCACACACACACACACAGAGACTCACACACAGAGACACACACACACACACAGAGACACACACACACTCACACACACACACACAGAGACTCACACACAGAGACACACACACAGAGACTCACACACACACACACACAGAGAGACTCACACAGAGACACACACACAGAGACTCACACACACACCACACACACACACACACAGAGACTCACACACAGAGACACACACACAGAGACTCACACACACCACACACACACACACACAGAGACTCAACACAGAGACACACACACAGAGACTCACACCACACACACACACAGAGACTCACACACAAGACACACACACAGAGACTCACACACACACACACAGAGAGACTCACACACACGAGACACACACACAGAGACACACACACACACACCAGAGACACACACACAGAGACACACACAAAGACTCACACACACACACACAGAGACTCACACACAGAGACACACACACACACACACAAGACTCACACACAACACACACACACACAGAGACACACACAGAGACACACACACACACACACACAGAGACTCACACACAGAGACACACCACACAGAGACACACACAAAGACTCACACACACACACACACACACAGAGACTCACACACAGACACACACACACAGAGACACACACAAGACCACACACACACACACAGAGACACACACAAGACTCACACACACACACACACACACACAGAGACTCACACACAGAGACACACACACAGAGACACACACAAAGACTCACACACACACACACACACACACAGAGACACACACACACACACACACACACACACACACACAGAGACACACACACAGAGACACACACACAGAGACACACACAAAGACTCACACACACACACACACAGAGACTCACACACAGAGACACACACACAGAGACACACACAAAGACTCACACACACACACAGAGACACAACAAAGACTCACACACACACACAGAGAGACACACACACACACACACAGAGAGAGACTCACACACACACACAGAGAGACTCACACACACACACACACACACACACACACACACACCAGCGTTTGCAAGTCAAGTGACAGCAAATATTTGCTT